ATCCGATTTTCGTACAGATCGTATCAGAAATAGCGAAAACCTAAATGAATTGAATGTAGAAGAAGAAGAAGAGACTAACGCCGAGAGCGGCCTGGCCGTTGCCGGTGCCGAAGTCGCAGGCGAGGGAGTGGGCGGCGGTGAGGGCGGCGAGTTTGGAGTACCACTCGGCGGGGTAAGATCTCGGCCTCCCTTCCAAGTATTTCTCAGCCAAGTTTTCCTTTTCGTACTTGTCCGCCATTGTTTCACTTTTCGCATCGGCGTTGTTTAGATCTGTGAAAATATATACAGAGCTTCGATTTGGATATTCGATAATTTTTTTTTTCTTTTTAACTCAATAGTTCACTAATTTTGAGTGGATAATTTAAAATTATACAGAAATGAAAAGGAGAAATTAAAGTTCAATGAATCTTGTGAAAGTTTGATGCTGGGTTTGTCATCGTGTGGAAATTTTTTTCTCCGGAGTGACAGTGGAGCCGTGTTTGACTTGAACCGCCCACACGGCATGACCCAATTGAATGATATTGGCGTAATTACGCTTTTAACCTCTTCGTTGTACTAATATTTTGATTGAATTACGAATTTACGAGGTCAGTCATGAATTTTCAATACTTTATTTAATAAGTTCCTAATGTCTGACCAATTTCTAAACTTTCAATTATATATTCGTAATTTTATTATTATTTTTTTTATAACCTGAGTTTATCACTTGTGGTCCTCAATCAATTGTAAGAAAAAAATCTATAATTTTAAAAAATATTTAATTGAAAGTTCAGAAAATTATTATATATTTTTAAAGTCAAAAAATTTATTGGATACCACCTTAAAAGTTTATAGGGTAAACTTATAATTTTATCTAATATTTTCCTTATTATTTTATTAATTTTATATTCGTTGCTTTTTTTTAAGCTAAACATATTGTTTTAGTCCTAAATATTTTGATGTTTTTTTTCTTATTTACTATTCAATTTAATCTTTTATGTTTTAGCTCTTTCCAATTGTATCCTTACTGCTAGTTTAATGATTGGCTTACACAATATGATATTTATGAGTTGACATAATTTTTTAAGATAAGTCGAAGCTTATAATTCTTCAAATTTTTAAGAAGTTAAAAATGAATTTCATCTTATACTTCAAGGTAAAATTATGTGAAATTACAAGTTTAATTTATTCAACTTTCATGGTGGTGCCCCATAAATCTAACTTTTAATTTTGCGTCTAGAAATAATTGAGTCATTAGACAATTTCTAAAATTTATAGACCTATTAAATAAAACAAAAAAATTGAAAAATCTTGATATCATACCGATAATTTAATATTTTGTTTAATAGATTTATGAATTAAAAAAGATATATGTCATATAGGTAAGAGATTTATTAGATACAAAATTGAAAATTCAAAAATCTATTACTCAAAAAAAAGTTATAGACTAATTACACATATCAAAATTTCATTTGTTCTTTGAAAGTTTAGAAATCTATTCGATAATTTTTTAAGTTCAAATATTTACTATAGACACAATAAAAAAATTTAGGCTAAAATTCTATATATTTTTTTAGTACAATGGGTGAGAATTCGACTTATAGTGTGAGATAGATGTCGATGGATATTTCTGTAAAGGTTAAAAAATTAAAAAAATCGTAAAAAATATTTAAATTAACAAAACAATCATATTTTCTTGATATTTTGTTGATATTTTTTATATTTTATCGATTTTCTTATACTATGATAAAAATGTCGATTTATCAATGTTAAATCAATGAATATTGACGTCCGAAGGATATTTAGAACCATAACATTAACGATTAATCTGCGTTCAAATGGAACATATACGCATTCTTAATTCAGCGATTACAAGATTAGAATATCGTGTAGATTCGTTTTGATACAGAAAATCAAAGCTCCATCAAGGCGACCAATATCCTCTCGATCATCGTGATTCGTCTACCGTACTAGCACGTTATTTCTCCAGTAATTTTACGCCACGTCATCTTCATCCCCACTACGTTATTCCCACGCGCCATTTTCCTTTTTACCATTTTTGTTACGTTACTTCCAGTTCCACCCATGAATGAATTTTCTAGATAATTATAATTCTTTTCTCTAGATAATTATAATTATAAACCAAATTTCTATAACTGGCCTATTTTATAAATTATATTTCATATTTTCAATTTTTGAGGAAGATGTCGACATGTCTACGCGTTGAGTAAATATATGGGAGAGAATGTCATTTTTTTCTCAATATCGACAACATGTCGAGTAAATATTTTTTTTTTCCTTATAATCTATAAATTGATTTTTTTATTAGATAAAATCATGTGCACGAGTCCACAGCTCTCACCGCCGCATCTATCAAGATTGAGCCGTGGTCGGCGGTGAGTTCAACGCGCCACCGTGGAGCGTGATGGAGTTCGTGGTGTTCTGACGCATTTTGGGAGTGGACGCAACAGAGAAAAAAGGAAGGACAGAGAATCTGAACGACAGTTTTATGCAGCTCGTTTTTCCTGTTTGTGCCCGGCCAAAAATCGAACTGGATTAGGAACCCTAGAATTGGGCATTCAGAATTTTGTTACGAAGATAGAAAGAGAGAGAGATTGATCGATGGTTATTTGGTAAAGATCGAAAGAAGTTGAATGCTCTGTAACGGACAGCGGAATTCGGAGAGAGGGATGGTTATTTGACAATTCAATTTCTTTTTTCCATCATAAAGCTTCGAACAGCGATTTGTTCATCGATTCATGTCTCTTTCCAATGAGGCAAGAACAATGAAGATCCTCACTGAATTCTAGACTCGAAAGCGTTGGTATCAGAGTCTCAGATTCGAAAAGGCGTGGGAAATTGGAATCCGTGTTTGGCGATCGCGATATCCCATTTCGAGTTCTTCAAACTTGAGTTATGGGGGCTGAGAAGAAGTGGCTTTTCACTTTCTTCTCAGCCGCATTACTTACCCTGATTTTGTTGCTGTTCTCTTCCATTTCCGCCTTCAGCTCGTCGAGGCTCTTCCCTTCCTCTGTTCATCGAGGACTTCACCATCCACCGGCTTTCGCTTACTATATTTTTGGTGGGAACGGCGACAAGGATAGGATCTTCCGGCTGTTGCTCGCCGTCTACCACCCGAGAAATCGGTACCTCTTGCATCTCAGTCGCGAGGCTTCCGATGGAGATAGGCAACAGCTAGCCGCGGCGGTGAAGTCTATCCCAGCGATTCGAACTTTTGGGAACGTGGACGTCGTTGGCAAGCCTGATCGTGTGACCTACAGTGGGTCCTCTTACATTGCCACGATTTTGCATGCTGCAGCGATTCTGCTCAAGATTGACAGTGGCTGGGATTGGTTTATCACTTTGAGTGCGATGGACTATCCGCTGATCACTCAGGACGGTATGCCAATTGGTTGAATCTCAATCGTTCTGCATACTTTTCTGGACAAATGGGCACTGTTTTAGATTTTTTTTTTTTTTTTCACTAGATCATCGTCATAGGCCTTACATTGATTTTCCTGTCGTTTGGGGTCTTCCAAATATCACCCAAAATAGAAATAACTTATCGAGAATGTTATTTTTTCCCCTTAGAATTTGTTGTTTCTGTGGTATACCGTCTGTGGTCAACTCAGATGCCTACTTCAATTCTGCAAAAATAGGTTATCCATCTTGATTTTTCCTGACGTTGGTTCTATATTAATGTGACGTGTGAATGAATAACATGCCCAATTGATTTTAGTAACTTATCCATATTACATATATCCAGTTGCAGCGAAGATTTAAGGTCTGGTGCTAAAGGTCATTGGGGCTAGTCTTCCAGATTTGAAATATGGCCCTGCGAGAAAGGAGGGACTTGGTTGGGTCTTGAAATGAATTTTTATAAGCTAACGTAAATGAGGAAGTTTATATTTCTCACTAGCTCACGTATTGTCTACAAGAGATGACCTGGTGAAGGTTTTGTGTTAATATCTTTGGCAGCAAAAGGAAGCTGCTGCAAGTTTATGGTTAGTTAAATGTGGCTAAATTTTGAATCCCATACACTTGCCTTGGACTCTTTTGGCATAATTCCATTAGCTCCACAGCACCCGTCAATCCCAAACCTTATTTCTTTGGATGAGCATATACAACCAACACTTAGCTAAAATCGTGATTAAAATCAGGTAATTTAGCACGATTCGAACTGATGGCCAAAGCAAACATTGTTAAAAAACGGTGATATTGTCTTTCAAATGGGTTTCAAATTGCTAGATACTCTTCTTGGATCTTCCATTACACGGTCATTTGGGACAAACTGTAATTATGGCTATTTGGTTGCATTTTCACTTGGCTAATTTTGGTTCATCCTGATTGATAGTAATTTAAGTTTTCAAACTTAGGGTTATAGTTAACATATCTTCATTTCTTTTTGAAGGACAAGAAACAAATATGAAAGAGAAAGTGCTCATTTGATAAAACCATGGTGTTCCGGTTTCTAGATAGATGGACAATTGAGCAGTAGCTATTGCATGGCAGGTCTAGCGACTGATATTGTAATTTGTGTGTATGAGTGCTTGGTTAGGAGTCTACTTTGAAGGGTTTTTAATTTACATTAATTCCCATTGGTTTTCCATGCATCCTTTAGCTCTTGATGAGATGAGAAATAACTGATTAGTTGTCACTGTATAATGCAACTGCACTACATATCTTGATTTTTATGTGTCAGGCATTCTTTTCCTGCCCTCTCACTTGTATATTTTGTGCATCAGATGCATACAAAAGATTAGGAATTTGAGTTAGATATGAAAATTAAACACAACTTGTTATTACTGGTGGTGATAGGATTAATGATGCGCTTATGAATATATTTCCATTAACTTGGCATTTTCTTGTTTGAGTGATTTAGCTGTGAATTGTATAACTAAACTTACTAGATTACTGTCAATCCGTCACAGGATTCAATATATAACAGTAGAGAGGATCTGCGTATATTATGATTAGCCCATGCTATATGGATAAAATATTTGATGGATGAATTGTTGGTTTGTTTTTAAGAATGGAAGCCACTTCATCGATAATTATTTAAAGAGTCATCGTCCCGATGTTAATTGTTGAAGATGTTGTCATAAATCTTGTAATGAGTTTGTTTAAAAGTCTGCACCAATTCTGGAGTTTGGGTTTGACCAGTGGATTTATCAATTTAATGTCTTGGACATTATTTTGATTTACAAGATCTAGCTTGACTATTATTATGAAAGGAGGGATAATTACTATTGTTAGTGTTTGAATTTTGAACATCTTCTTCTCCTTATATGATAAATTATGGTAGATTCTAAATGCAAATGTCTGTTATAGGGATGCTTTCTAATTCTTATATGCTCTTATTTTGCTTTTCTCACTTATTAATGATGCCTTCTATTGAATTTCAGACCTTGCACATGTGTTATCCTCTGTTAGAAGAGATCTCAATTTTATTGATCACACCAGTGACATTGGATGGAAAGAGTAGGCCAGCTCTTCACACTAGTTGACGTTTTTATCGTTCGATGATTGAACAATTGAATCATCTGCATTCATTTTTTGCTGTAGATCCAAGAGAGTCCATCCAATTGTAGTTGATCCCGCGGTGTACTTAGCAAGGAGAAGTCAAATTTTTCACGCTACCGAGCAACGACCAACACCTGATGCTTTCAAAATATTCACAGGCAAAACTAACTCTCTTTTAACCGTTCAAAAATGTTGTGGTATGCTAAAAACTGTAGCAGTTCTTTTCTGCATTTGCAGGTTCACCTTGGGTCGTCCTGAGTCGACCGTTCCTCGAATTCTGCGTGTTTGGTTGGGATAACCTGCCCAGAACAATGTTGATGTATTTCACAAATGTGGTATTGTCTCAAGAGGGATATTTTCATTCTGTCATTTGCAATTCACCAGACTTCAAGAATACCACAGTGAACAGTGATCTAAGATACATGATCTGGGACAATCCACCCAAGATGGACCCTCACTTCCTCCACACCTCCAATTTTGATCAAATGGCTCAAAGCGGGGCTGCTTTTGCAAGACAGTTTCAACGAGATGACCCTGTGCTGAACATGGTCGATGAGGTCATCCTCAACCGCAGACCGAATCGACCCACCCCCGGTGCCTGGTGTTCTGGCTGGAACAGTTGGTGGACTGATCCATGCTCTCGGTGGGGCGATGTCAATGGTCTGAAGCCTGGGACTCGTGCAAAGAAGTTTGAAGAGTCTATTACAAACCTTCTTGATGAGTTGAGTTCACAGTCTAATCAATGCAAGTGAAACCAGGTTCAGGTGATTATAGATTTTTCTTGAGTTACATTCTTTGGGTGCCACACAGCAAAAAATAACATTTCTTGTTCATTTTAGAAACATCCCAATTCCCAAGCATTCAATTTATAGTAAAATCTTCCTTCTCTGGTATTTAGCATTCTTCCAACAAGCATAAATAAACTTTAGTTTCTTCAACGGACGACAACTAATTATTGTTTGTAAAGGAAAGGCATTATGACCCCGTTGATTGATCGAGGGATATGGACAAAGGTTAGTTGGTACTTTGCCGTTGCCTCTCTTCACCACTAGAGGTAGACCTCTGCCATGCCTTTCGAGAACATACACACGCACCCTTTCTAAAACATAGTACTCAGTGTTGGTGCACAATTCTGGCTGAGGTGGCACATTAGCAACAATCTTATATGGGGTCTGACGTTGCTTTCTTGGCAACCCAGCAAAATCTTGCACTAGTTTGGTACTCGACCACGTAACCTCCAAAGCTTAAGTTAGTTAGGATTAAGATCAAGCTGGTATTGGGGTGAACTTATGTAGAATGCAAGAGATTGCGTATCTTTTGAAAAGTGGGACTTCGCCTTTTATATAAGAGGAGTATTGGGAACCGACCTTCTGCTACTATGACTACCTTAACTGTCATTTTGCAGGTTTTTCACTAGCAATTAGAAGATGCAGCAGAATCGACTTTTCGCTCAATATGGATTTCATAATCTTCTCTAAGTTAGAGTTGAGTTAAGCTCTACTTACTTTTTCATTGGTCTTTCTTCCTCATCTTTGTAGTGTCTGAGTCAGCCACATGTCCAAGCAAGAGAGGGCCGTGTGTTGCACTTGATCTTACCCCGTGATAATAAGGAATCTTTACAAATGTCATAAATGCTATAGAAGGTAGCTTAGAGGTGAGGTGAGAAAGAGAGCTTATCCAGAATGGTGAGATGAGATGGGATTGAATATTTTGCTATATGATATAAAAATAGAACCTAATATTGCATATAACTTGGGCAATTGTGTAAAGTGACAGAAATTGAAATGTTATATGGTGACATTTACCAGTATTCCAACCAATTCCTCCTCCTCCCTTGGCTCTCATCACACTTCATTCAATTATTTCTTTGCCTTCCAACAAAAATCACATACATAACTTGTCAGATAATGATTTCACTTAATCAATTCGTAATTACATCGACAATGAAATATGTTTAAAGTTCGAGGTCGAATTAATATAGATTCATACCCGATCACAAGCATGTAACTTGTATAACTTGTATTCAATTAGTTGTGAGATTATACATATGTATGAGAAAATTTAAATATATGGAAAAGCAAAGACATGTGGTGGCAAAGAATTATTGAGAGAATCCATGTGTGTTGCTTCAACATTAAGACTTAAATAGAAAATGATTGATGTTTTAATATAGTTCACATAATGAGAAAGAGAGACTTATGGGTCCAAATTTCACAAGTAAAAGAAAAAAAAAAAGCATCTCTTTGTATTTTTTTCACACAAATTATAATTTAAATTAATATAAATATATATATTTTTAACATCTCTTGAGCACACGAAAAAAGTGTGCAATATTAAATTACGCGCACAAAAAGTATGAAATGATCCATTACGTGAAGTACGAGGAGACGAGAAACTCTTGTCTTCATCTTTGTTTCTATTGTTTAATAACTTTATTAAAGGATGAAGAATGGTTCTCAATTTACTCTTCCATAGATCTAACTTCAATTAAATTTAGTTCCCAATCTAAGCAACCAGAATGCTCTCCATTCTAATTTCAATCCCAATCTTAAAATCACAATTTAAGGAGAACCTATTGCTATCCCACGATTTTTCTTTGGCAATCCTCTTCGGTTCACATTCTTGTCTAGTAAGGGATTGTTCGATTTTGCACCAAATGTGATAGAGTTATTATACGATTTTAACCCATTTGATAATGATTTCGTTTTGAGTTTTATGTTCGTAGTTTATTTTTTCATAATTTTTTCGGATGTGTTTTCACCTTTTTTAAGATGTTATTTGAATTAAATTTCGTTTTTAAAAAGTTGATAACATGACAAATAATATATAGATGAAATATAGAACAATGCTAGAAAAAAGTGGCTTTTTGGAATTGAATGAATTCATCAAACCTTTTCTAGTACAGATAAGCTCCAATTCACGTTCAATATTCTAAAGCTTCTTTTGTATAAGATAAACTATAGAGATAGAATAATGCATTTTCCACCCTCGTCCCTAAAGCGAATTCAACTCTATCATGTTTTATAATACAAGCGATAGAGTCATTGTACGAACTTATGACTCATTTATAGAAACATTCTCCTTTCTTATTTAGTTCATATCTTAAAGAAAGAAACATTAAAAACGTGTTTGGTAATTACTATTGTTTTTTGTCTTTTTCTTGAATACAACATACAAGTAGAAGAATTCGAACTCACGATGTTTTAGTCAAAGATAGTTACCTCAATCAGTTAAGCTAAGCTCGAGTTGGCTATTGTTTCTCGTTGAAGTCAAACTCCCTTCTTTTCGATTATTATATTAGATGGGTACGTTGGAATTTGCACCAAAAGTTTAAAGTAAAATATAGTGTATTTTAGATGATTTTTGAAAAAAAAAAAGGTACTTTTAAAGTTAAATGATTTTAGATGAAAAACTAATTGATTAGCGTTTCTTTTGAAAGCGTTTTTTCCCCTCTATTAAGTGCTTATTTTAAAAGCGTTCAGATGACTTTACTCAACTGACAACGACGGGTTGGTTTAAGACTTATCTCGAGTTCAAACTCCTCCCCTTTAATTCATTTTCTAAAAGGAGGAAAAAAACCATTTTGATTGTTTAAAGCATGGCATCAACTGTTCAACACCATAGTTTTTAAAGCTAAAGGAACACCTTTTTTTTTTCCTCCCAAAAGCATGGAATCAATTCAATTCAAACAACCTAGCTTTTATTTCTAAACAAAAGTTTCCAAGTTTTATAGCGTAATTATAAATTTCGATAATTTGATATTTCTACCGGTTTCCTCTCGTGTAAACAACAAACATTTTGTGAAACTTGATTAAACTCCAAGAACAAAATTGAAACTAAACTCAAAATCATACGAACTATACTAAAACTCCTACAAACATAAAAATCAAATTAAAACGCCAGTCTAGGCATATCTCTGCTGGTTAAGACTTCGACCAAAAGGTCGTGGATTTGAATCTCCACTCTACATGTTGTTATTTTTTTTAAAGACCAAATTAAAACGATGTCCAAATCACAGGGACCAAACTTGTAATTTGAGTTTATAATTTAATAATTGGATCATGTTGAAGAAGCAAGCAATTTTCTTAATCAGCCCTACTTTTGGCCTGAAAAAAGTGGAAGAGAGAGCCTTGAATTTAGCCTCTCAATCATGCAATGCAAGATTGGGCCCAATATAATTAATACCCAAAAATCCAGTTTCCATTGGAATTGTATGATTTTGAGAACACAATTCATTCTGTGCTGTCCATCTCAAAAACCCACATTATATTAATACTAAATTCCCACTTCCACTTATAAATACACCCTCTCCCTTGCCCTAAAATCTGCATTTTTAACCCCATTTCCCCAAAATACCCCTCCCTCCTCAAAAAATGGGAATTTTTGACTCTGTCTCAGACTTAATCTCTGAATATGTTGCCACCTCCAGACAGAGGAAGAAAAAACCAATGCAGGTTCCCTCCAACAATCCTTCAGCTTAAGTCATCGATGTTTAAGATAGTATTTGAATATAGTTTCTGTGTTCGAACTCTGTTTAACGTTGATTTTTCTAAATCTTACTTTTAATGGGTTTAGACAGTGGAGATCAAGGTGAAAATGGACTGTGACGGGTGCGAACGGCGAGTGAGAAACGCCGTTGCCAAAATGAAAGGTAAAAAAAGAGCAGAAAACCCATTTGAATTAGCCATTGAAGAAGCTGAAACGGAGATTTTGATTTTGATTATGATTTTGTTTTTGTTTTTGTTAGGTGTGAAAACGGTGGAGGTGAACAGAAAACAGAGCAAGGTGACGGTAACGGGGTTTGTGGAGGCGAACAGGGTTCTGAAGAAGGTGAGGAGAACGGGAAAAAGAGCGGAGTTGTGGCCGTACGTGCCGGTGAATGTGGTGGCGTATCCGTACGTGGCGCAGGCCTACGACAAGAGGGCGCCGGCGGGCTTCGTCAAAAACGCCGTTCAGGCTTTGCCCAGCCCCAACGCCGTCGACGAGAAGCTCACCACTATGTTCAGCGATGACAATCCCAACGGCTGTTCCGTTATGTAATAAATAACTTTTTTGCCCTTCTTTCGGTTTCTTTTTTACTTTTACTTCGGTGTAAAAGTACCTTCACTTGTCACTTTTCATTTTTTACCCTCTTATACTTTTTCCTTTTACTCGTATACTCGGATCATTCGAGTTAATTTTAACTTACATTTAAGTTCGGATTAAAATTTTGGAGTTAAATTTTCAAGGGTAAAAACTTCTTTTTTTTTTTTTTTAACTCCAAGAAATTATTGGAAGATGTAATAGGATGACGATTTTATGTGGTTAGATTTCGGAGAAAAACACTAGAAAAATACTTTGAATTTATATTTAGTAGTATTTATTTGGGGCAGTCACATTGTGGCGACCCATTCAATAATTTTTTATTTACTTATCTCCCAAAGTATTAATTTTGGTTGGGTTGATTCTAACTAGTTTAGTTTAGATTAAAAATTTAACAAGAGTAAAAATGATTTTTTATTGTTTTGGGATGTAAAAACGATGAAGACTATGTTTGAGAGTGCTTTTTAGCATAACTAAAAGTATTTTTACTCAAATTCATCATGTTCAAAGGTGATTTATAAATGTTTTTGGAAAAAGTTAAAAACACTTAAAAAGTGCCTCACGAAGAATTGTTTGGAGGGTGCTTTTGGTCAAAAGTGATGGTAAGTAATTTTAAGAGGGTAAAAACTAAACATCAAAATGATTTTTATATTAAGCATTGTTTACTAATGTACTAATGTACTAAAGTTTGCTCAGGTAAACTTTAGAATAATAATACTTTCTCGTTAACGAGACAAAGATTCATGCTGACTACTACTAAATTTCTTATCAATATATATATATTTTTTTAAGGAAAAAATCTCTTTCTCTTCCTCTATGCTACTCAACTTCAACCTCTAAAAATTGAGTTTAATTAATAGAAAAATAGAAGTATTGTATATTTTAGAAGCACTCTCAAACACATTCTAAGTTATATTAGATTAGAGGGAAATAATTATAGGTTGTCGTGTCACTTCATAATTGTCAAATTATTGGTTAAGATTTAGAAAATACTTTTGAATGGCTGAATATGGATATCGCTCCCCAATCTGAGCCTTGCTCGACGCGTAGTCGGGGCCTTCTTCCCCCCTCCAATTCAGGGACGAGTTCTGTAACGTCGTTTACAATGTTGGGTGGCCGTCAACACCTCTTGATTATAGAGATCTAACTGGCAAAGCCACATGACATCGATTCCAGATTAACAAAAAAATATATATAGTCACAGGATTGGTCGCTACCTCAAAAATATATTCCTAATCAATCTCGTATTTGTCAATCAATGTATAACTCAACAATTATGGCATTAGCAATTTTTCGAAAGCTTTAATTTCCAACCTCGTAATTGTAACTTTATATTATAAAATATTTTTTCCTTCTAATTTTAGTGTGGGAAATAAGTTTAAAAGTAAGATAGTTGTAAGGTTGTTTAAACCATAATAAGCAATGAAAATTATCTCTAGAATAAACTATTTTTTGAAAGAATATTGGAGGTAAGATGTTTGAATATCTAAAATCGTACCAGTTAAATAGTTTTCTAAAAATATTATATTAAATATTGAAATGTTTAAGTCATTTAAAAAATATATATTTTATCGACAAAGCGAACATAACTCAACGATAATTCTAATGCCATCGTTCTCGTCATTTTCTTCTTCTTCAAGGCACCTCTCTTCTTCTCAGCATAAATATATATTTTTTTTAATAAAAAGAATCCATTGTTTAAATTCATTTTGAACTCCTCCCCGACTTGGAATCCAAGCACATTTAATTTGCAAATTTGCAATTGAATATCAATATTTTATTTTAAAATAAGAATATTTACATAAAAATAAAAGAGAAAAAGAGAGAGAGAGAGATTGAAAAGGTGTTTATTGGGTGGAATGTTTGTAAAGAGAAAAGGAAAAAGGCCATAGATGCTTCCATCCATCTCATTAGAGTTAAAGTTGGACCATTATATTTACATTCCCCATAATCATCCTTCACAACTTTTTCTTCAACTTTATTTATTTATTTATTTATTTTTAATAGACAACGATATAAAGTTTGGATCCCTCCAACTCCAATCAGCTACAAAATTTTATAATTTTAGTGGTTAAAAGAATGGTCTATATATATATATATATATATATAATTTTAAAATTTAATGAAAGTTAGCACTCATATGACATATCAAATTTTTTAAAATAAAAATAAATTTAACGCAAACGTAAATTGATTATCTATCATTTGGTTGGCCGACAATTTTAATTTTAAAATTTTTGTTTGTTTTTTCACATATTTTTAGTATGTTTTTCAACTTTCTTGAAACCATTGCGACCAAATTTTATAAATTACAATTTTTTATATAGTTTTGGAGCGCGCCGTTATTCATTTATTTATTTATAATAATATGTGAGAATGTGTTTAAACTCATAGTCTTTTAATATACATAAATGCCTCGAAACTCATGTTCGCACAAAGAAGTTGAATAAGGAGAATAATTTAAAATACAAAATGTGGAAATAAAATCAATTAGTATAAAATGCAAAAGATTCCAAGCTAATTGATCAAAACTGTCTAAGTAGTGACTTTTCAACGCAACCATTGCTTAAATAAGTACCATTGTCTTGTCTTGCGTAAAAGACGATAAAGAATCATCTCAAATTCTGTATGTGCAAGATGTGACATGACCTCCTAAAATAAGGACCAAATAAATGGACGAAAAAAATCGAGTGCGATCTCAAATTAAGGTCGGTTTGACCCTATAAAATATCTTACTTCAATATTCTAATTATAATTAAAAACAAGTACACAACGGCGGAATGTGACATAAGCATTTTGTTGAAGGGTAAATTTAGAACTCCACGTGGAATCCCCTTGCAATCAAGTGGACCCCTCAAGATCCACGAAGATAGGGTGCCGAGCACACCGAATTGAGGCTGAGCACACCGTACCAAAGCACAAACATGGTTAGAGGTACTAGCACACTCCCCTGTGATGCGTTGGATATTGTGCCAAACCACTGTCTTGGACGTTGTCGCACGCTTCCGAAATGGCAAGAGAGGGACGCAAAATGTCAGAGATATCTCCACACCTCTATCACCTTCTCAATCTATCCATATAAAAGCAATACTCAACTTGTGAAGCGGTAGCAAGAATTCTTACGCAAATCCTTACACGAATTCTTTACACACACTCCTAGCAAAACTTTCACTTAAATTCTTACCATTACTCTACGTACTCCATACTCGTTTGTCCAATCTTAAGTACTAATTTAGACATCGAAGTGAAATTGACAGAGCATAACACCAATACTAGATTTTGTGTGCAAGTCGAACTTGAACTAGAGGACAAAAGGCGTGTGTGCTTCCTTGTGAAGATTTGAAAAGTTCAAAAAACGATCCAATATAATAATGGAATCTCAACAAGAAAACTTGTGGAGCAATGAAAGATTAGAAAGTTTCAAACCAAAAGCCAATCTTTGGAAAAGATTAGAGAAGCTAATGCATGAGAAAAAGAGATCATCACTTGAAGATGCCAACATTTGATGGTTAAGCCTTTTTTAAACTAAGTTTGATTTTTTCTATTAAACTCTCCTTTATTATTAGCAATCCTTCATCTCTTCCTTTTTCTTTTCAACTTTTTTTCCCTATTAAACCCATAAGAGATATACACCTTCATATGACAAAAAGAACCAAACTTTTACTTCACTTTAATCTAATATCCTAATTCCCTCTCCCATTCAAGTATCATCGCCTAGTTTTCTTTTTCGATCGAATATTATAGGTTTTGGAATTTATCTTAGAAAAAAACAAACAAAACTATTCTAAAACTTATTGAGAAGGTACAATACTTTCTTTAAAAAAAATATAGATATAGTAAGACCGTACAGTTCGATAATAATAGTCAAAATTCTTTAATTTTACCGACCTAAATATCTTATATTTTCAAAGAAGTTTTAAAACACATTTCTTTTGAAAATTAAGAAGAAGTAAATTGGAATTTGCATTTAATAGAAAAAAACCGACAAATATGCTTTTTTGATGGATTCTTTTTAAGTCAAAGTTCTAAAAACCCTACAATTTGAGATCTTTCTACACTGTCAAATAAAGCAAACTCTCTTTTTCTCTGTCTAAACTGCAACCCTTTCTCTCTCCCAAAAAAAAAAAAAACTTAATTTCAATTTTACAATAAGTTTGATTTACTCTTAAGAAGAGTGAAATTTTTTTTTGACTAATTAATAATCTGTCGGTGTTTGATTATAATGGTAAAAGTATATTTAAAATTTTAACCAAAAAAAAAGTTACCTTTTGAAAGAAACACACAATTTTTCTATAAATGCTTTTTTTTTTAAATTTATTTTTACAATACTATTTTCGGAAGTCATTCAAATAAGAACTTTTAATTTAAATGTTACATCGTTGATTATTCGGTGTAATTGTTGGAATATAAATCGAAATGTTAGTGCCATAAATCCTTTCCTTTTTGGAAGAATCCATCTAACACCCACCAACGTGATGCTTTTTTTTTTTAATTTACCAACAATAAGCACCCACGTAAAACCAAAAAGAAACAAAAAATAGTCCATTCGTCTTAATAAATACATTTTTTAATATATAAATTAATAATTAATTAAGATGGATGGTAACTTACCTAGTGTTAATTGACATGTATTCTTGAAGGTCCGAGGTTTGATTCTCATATTTTCAAATCGTTATACTAAAAAAATTATAATACTGACTAAAATAAATATAATTAGAAATATATGGATTAAAATAATATTTAAAATAAAATGAAAGGGGAAATGTGGGAAAGAAACAGGACTTTTTTTTTAACGAAAATCATTTTAAAGCATTTTCGAACTTAGAGGAGGAATATTATTTTATCCCAAACGTTCGAGGCCGAAAATTAAATTATTAGTACTTTTTCAAATGAAGAATGCGTCATTTGACGTAATTTTCTGAAAAAATAAAAATGAAAACCCGAAAATTGACAACGGGCTTTCTTAGAAGTCCATGTGGCTGGACGATAATGGGTTGGGCTTTCTCAAATCTAAGACAAAGCCCAGCCCATCACAAAACGGACTCGGAGACGTCCAATAAGGAACCGTGCTGTTTTGTAAAATTAATATATTTTGATTGTTTTGTTTTGTTTTTTTGTTTTTCCGTTCTCAAAATTTCATAATGTTAGATTATCGTATTCTCTTTCTTTTTCAAGAGGAAGGTTACTCGACTGGTTAATGGATTATGTTGTACTATAAAATATAATTAGTTAAAGCATAATTTATTTTTAAAAAAATTAGAAATTCAAATCTTCCTTGAACTAAAAAACCAACATTATTTCTTTAAAAGAATGATAATGAATATAATTTGATAAGTGTTATAGGTTGAATAAATGGGGCTCGACAAAACGACAAGAAGCCTAAACTGGGCCTAAAGCAAAGAAGACCCAATTATGTAGACCAAACGAGCAGAGGTCGTTGGGTCCAGATCGACATAGAGTCGACCCAGGTTCGTCGCCAACTCCTGCTCGATGTCAAGCAATTCTCGGTCAACGACCGGAACCCCCAACAAGACTTCTTCCACTATCCTATGAAGCTTAGCCCACGCGGGGCAACAGTTCCATAACCCGTACGACTACAAACCAGTAGGCCCAGCGTATGGTATTTCTTAAAGACATCATGATTCGACTTCTATAGATATGAGACTAAACCAAACTCTAAAGGTATGCCAAAATACCATACTCTCCTTACTCGACTACTTCGTCCGATTCTAATTTAAGTATTGGAGTCCGTATGGTAATAGTCACACCTATCTTTAGTGATACTTATTTTGCAGGTTTCGTCAATCCATTTATTCTAAACGATTTGAGCGAATTTGACGGGAATCCCAATAAGCCAAATTTTTGCCTCAATAATAAAAATGATAATTAAATATTTAAAAATACATCATCAAAACAAAAATATGTAATGTCAACATAAAAAAATATAAAATATAAACAAAAAAGCAAATTGATTATAAGTTAGTTTTTAAAAAGATATATACGGTCCCAAAATTTTCATTACAACAATGTAATTATTGTAATTTAAAAATTGTAATTATCTCCGTGAGAGATTACTTTAAATAGAAGTGTGCTCAAGATTGAGTCATTACCTACTAAAAAGTTATATAATTGAGTAATTACAAATGACACTTTTTAAAATACTAGAATTGATAAATCATTTTTCTCAACAAAAAAAAAAGAATTGATAAATCATTGCATATTAAATTTTATAATTATGAACTCTAAATAACATTACCTATTCAACTACACGAATAAAATCATTACCTTCTATATTTTAAACATACAAAAATAAAAATAAACAAAATAAAATATTAAAGGACAGATAATCAAACGAATTTTTTTTAGTATAACAAGTAAATGTGAAAATTCGAATTCATGGTCTAAACCAATATAACTTCACGCTAATTTATATATATATATATATATATATATACACGTGAAACTAAGAGGTCGTGAGTCGATTTCCAAGTATATTAAAAGAAAAAAATGATAGTATTTAAAAATTAAACCTGAATTTATAATAAAAGAAAAAATATGTTTAACATTCCGTCTGAAAAATACGTTTGATCTTTGTAGGACGAGAACGAAAGGCATAAAGCACGTGCCGTCTCAATGGTCTGCGTTTAACACGGTTCATTTTTCCGATCAACGTGGCGGTGGAATCAAGAAACTTGGCGGAAGCACAGCCGTCGCCGCCGTCGCATTTCTCTCTCTCGGCTGTTCTTCCGCATAAATTATTGCATCTTCTTCCTCTCTATTTTCTCTTTGCAATCAATCATATTCCGCGTTCGCAATCGTCGCTTTAACTCCTATATTTTACTCTTATGAATTCTTCATCGAAGCCTCACCACTGCGATTATTCTCGCCTACCTTATTTTTATGCATTCTGAAGTCTTCTCGATTCTCCATTTCCGATTCCTTTGCTCTTCTCTTCCCCTATTTGTGTTGGTTTCATTGTTATCTGATTGTTAATTAGCAATGGCGATGGCTGCCTTCAAATCGTCGTCTAGAAGAGGGGGTTCGACTTCGGCAGCACCTTCTTCGAGTAGCGGCGTGTCAACATCGGGTAAAGATAGCAAGCAGGGGAGTAATTCACCGAAGAAAGCTACTATGCGGAGATCACGAAGCGTCAGTGCCTTTTCCAGATCCAACACAGCGGATATTTCCGCCGATTTTTCGAATAGTAGAGATAATCCGCTGTTCTGGAGCAATGGTTCGCCCCCTTGCGACGAAGCTCGTGCTGTTAACCTTGAATTCGATGAAAGTTCCACCAGAATTAGCGCAGCAAGTTCAAAACGTGTGAGTTGTGGTGGTGTTGAGAGTACCAGGGGACGATCGGTGTCGAGAAATTCTGGTTCTGGAAGTAATGGTTTAGGAAGCAGGAAGGTCGGCGGTCGAAGCTTGTCACGGGTAGGCACTGAACGGCGGGACCGCTCTGCGTCTGTGTCTCGATATCCCGTCTCATCGCAATCCTTTGTGAACTCTGAGGTTCGTTTCTATATCCAATTTCTTCCCGCTCATCATCTGATTTAAATAATTTTAGCAGGACTAGAACATGAACATGTTTTATTCTTTCATTTCTTCTGATATTAAGAGTGAGGCTGAGCGAGATAGTCGTTATACTGCGAAATCCAACAATAGAAAGACTCCAGATTCGGTTCTTCACGGTCGAAGAGAGGTTGGTTTAGCTAGAAGTAATTCAGATTCTTCGAAGCAATTGAAAGGCCTGCGAACACGGTCCAGTCAACTTTCACCTTTTGATTTATCCGATAACTGCGATGCATCAGTGGTAAGAGCTCTGCAGGCCTGTAAGAGCTCTGCAGGCCTGTATTAGTTCTTTTTTAATAATTTCTACTACTTGTGCTACATTTTCACGAAGTTTTTGATCGCTGGTTTAGTCTTGTAGTTTTGAAGATAGGCTGTCCACTGCGAGTTCTCTATCAGAAGCCGAAGAGAAAACAATAAAAGCTGTTTGTGAGCAAATGAGAGTGAGTTGTGTCAATTTCTGGTGATTTCAGTTAGGATGTTAGTAGTGCAAATGAAGGGGGATTGTTCCAATCATTTTAGTCGTTTAACTACGATTCTGGTTCCTTCTACAGTCAATGAAGGGGGATTGTTTGCAAGGACAAACCAGTAGTAGTGACATATATGACATTATTCAATATGAAGTTAGACGTGCTGTCCAAGATATCCATAATGACCTTCTCAATGTAAGTTTTGGAACCGTGCCGATATTTCTGCTTTTTCTTCTCTTTGTTCTATTAGTTTCGAGACTGTATGAGGAAGTGTTTGGATATATTGTGGAAGAATATGAATAATATCATTTCTTTCTTTCTTTCTTATTTTTTCACTAGAAACTCTTTTCAACAACATAATGGAAAGGACACGTAGAAGTTACATAAGTGTTATAAATTGTGAAGGGAGTAATTACAAAAGGAGTTATGTATGGTATACCAAAAGAACGATGAATGTTGCCTGGCCAAAAGTTTCTTCACAATCTATCTTCTTCTTGAATGATATATTGTTTCTCTCCAACCATAACCCCCAAACAGGGCCTTCACCTCCAAAGCCATCAAATTTTTGGCTCCCTTTTCAAGAAGTTCCCACAAAGTAGCCGAGTAATATTGTTGTTTGCCAATCTATCCATCCCCCAGTTGTAGTTGAAAATCATAAGTGATTTTCCAGCATCTTGAGCCATAAGGGCCATGAAAAAAAGGCGGCCTAATGTCTTTCCTGGCACAAAACAAGAGGCTAGGGTAGAGTGACTAGTTTGGGCAGCGTTTCTATGAAGGTTGTCTGAACTTTTTTGTTTTGTTATGTACCTCTTGCTATCTGCTCGGTTATTTTCACTATTGCACCTCTTTTGTAGAGCAAGTCTTAGAAAGCTAACGGTATCCACAAGATATTTGGCATGGGGTCCACTTCTAATGTTCTTGGTATTCACAAGTGAGAGAATTTTTAATTTTTGGGTTATCTTACTGTATTTTTAAAAAAATTATTTTGAGTGTTTTCTTATATGACAATCCTTTTGCGGGGATAAAAATTCTTTTGGTTCTGCCACCCTTTTCTCAAGAAATTCTTATCTTAGCTGAACCTAAGAGTCTTGGATATGTTTAGTATATGGAACCTTACTGTTCGCTTGGCACATGAATAGTTGATTAGATTATTTACATCTGTTTAACCAATAATATTTGTTAATAAGTTGCTTGGCATATGTAGATAAGGGGTGATTCATATATATTTTTCTTGTACAACATGACCTATCACCTATCTATATTTAAAAAATGTCAATAAGGTTATTTACTTCAATTCTTTCATGGCTCATAATTTCAGGCTCCACAAAACAGTGCTGATGCTATAGGAAGTTCAAATATTGATATCCCTCCCGAATTGGTGAATCCAGCTGCTGTTGAATTGGTGATGGACTTGAGAAGCGAGTATAGCAAGAAGCTTGAGCAGGTAGTACTTGCTTATTCATTGTGCTGGATTGCTGATGATTTCGCTTAATTCATTCAACTTTGTTGCCCCTGTCGATGTTGATGTTTTTCATCTCCTTAGATTTTGGTTTCTATATTGTGTTTCTGCATTCTTTTGTTTTTATCATTCACTTGATTCAACTGTATCCTTGATAATAAGAAACTAATAGAATTTTATTCAACTGGTAGTCACAAGAGCGAGCTAGAAAACTTCGGGCAGACTTGGCAGTTGAGGATCATCGTGGATTAGAGCTCAGTAGAATTTTGCGGGAAGTAATACCAGCTCCTAAGACCTCTATGAGACGAAAAGTATGCTCCCGTAGTTTCCCTTTACATGTTACATTCAGTTTAATACCCTTTTTAGCATAATCTGTGTAGACTTCCCCTGATAAGTTCTGCTCTTCAACATGTTGAACATTTTCCCTGCGTTATTTTAGTTACAAATTCCATTATGCAGTATTGTCACTTTCATTTTTTAAAATAGGAATTTTTGTTTATAGTTTAATCAACCACTTCCAACATTTTAGACTTTTGGACACTTCTTGTTCAAGTAAGGTCATGGCATTTGGACACTTCACCTGCCCCAAAGACCATGGAATTATTCGGAAATAGTGTTCAAGAACAACTTTTTTATAACAAAAAAATGGCAGAAAATAGTAGTATTTAATATTTTCATGGTTCTCTTGGTGTTAAAAAGTCTCTCCAACCAGTGTAAATACCAAAGAGATAAATACCTCTGTATGTCTGTTTGTTAAATCACGATCTAGAGGCAAAAAGGTAGAATCTCCCTAACATCTACAAATTCCATGTAATTAATCACAAAAAGTCTTATTCTTTTTTGTCTATGTCCCCAATAAGGTAGCTAAAAAAGAGTCATCCTAATGTTATAGGAACAATTTATGCTCTGGTTTTTCTGATGCATATCCTGCACGCAGGAATGGCAGCTTGCCATTCTGATACAGAGGTACTGATCATTTGTTAAATTTCAAAACAGGCTAGCATTGAAAGAAGAAAGATGTCAAAACGTCTAACTGACGACGCCTTGGCATATTTTGACGAGTGTGTATCATTATCAACATTTGATGGTTCCGACTTCTCATCATTGGAAGAAGCACCCCCTATCCACCAAGTTTCTTCCACTACCCAGGTGGGAGATGGAACCCCTCAGGCAAGTCAAGTGTTTCAGTCATTACTTGAGCATTTGTTTCTTTGACAATTTAATTAGTCCCCTTGTGAATCACTTATCATGTTCCTTTTTCAATATAGATAACTAGAGATTATATTAGGCTGTTGAAGTACAAGTGAACAGGAATGAGTGAGGGAGAGAATAATTACAAAGGAAAACCAAGAGATTGCGTTCCAGGGAGAGACCCTATAAACGATACCTCCTTTTTATCGATAGAAAGCTATCTTCTTAACACTCAATAACTCCTTTCCAAGGGTGCTACGACCAAGTTTAAGCCACAAATTTTGGCTTTACCCTTTGTAAGGATGACCTCTAAGCATAAAGAAAGAAACCCTTCACATTCCTAGGTGAGTGAAGAGCTTGAAGATAATGTGCCTATGACACATAAAAACAGAATCACTTCTTAAATCGCTTAAATTACAAGTTTTATCCTCGAACTGGTCGGTCCATAGTTCTACCCAATCCAATCCAGTGTGGAATACTGATGTGTAGATGCTCTTCATGTTTAATCGTATAACTATTTTTCATGTAAATTGGATCGCTAATAACTTTCCATATCCAACACTTTCAGGAACCAACCATTGGAACTTCATCCGTGAGTGAGCAATATAATAGTAATCTCAGCGAACTTGGGGATGCCAAATCTCAGTTTTCCTTCACTAGAAAACCCCATGAAATTTGTGGAATTCAACAGGACATTGGGAAGTACATTCATAACTGTGAGAAAGATGGCAACGAATCAAGGGTTTTAACGACGAAGCAATATTGCAATACGAATGATGCAAATTTGCAGAAGCCAACAGAGAGCGTTTTGTTTGACCGACTTCTTTTGAGAAGCAGAATCGAGTCGGGCGGTCTACTACTGTGCGGTGTTAGCTCTGCAACTTGCTCCTCTTATTATGGTTCCTTCATCTGAATGTCTAAGACATGTTTTGGTTTAATTGTTATAAAAAACCATAGATTTCAGAAATATTGAATTGGCTTTCTTAGGATCATGAATTCCAACAGTTCCTAGTTTGATTTGTGGGTACGATCATGATCAAGATGGATTGCCAAGTGGAAAGTTGTCCACATGAAAATTTAGGGATGCGAAAAATTGAATCAACTCGAACCGGGTTGTTCTGATTCAATTTTTCATGTCGGTCTAGAACCGACTATCGTGATTTTGACATATCAGATGTAAAACTACTGCATTGTTGTCATGATATATATGTATTATATATATATATATATATATATATGCACATAAATGTCATAAATTTACTCCATTTGTTTTTAGGAAAATGTATATGTCATGTCATTAATTTTTATAAGTTTTATTAGCTCAGCAACGAGGAGCTATAAACTGTAGTGTTTTTTTATTAAAAAATAATTTTGTTCGCTTTATTTAGTTTTGAACTTTGGTTTGTAATGAATTTTTAAGTTAGAACAATTGAGTTTGAGTTCTTGAATTTTAATAGATAACAATTTAATCTATGTAGTTTAAAAACGGTAAGATTTAATTGAATTTCACATGTAGGTTGATAAATTGACAACACATTACATTCATTACAGAATAAACCTGGCCACTTAATTTAATGATATTCCTTACCTTAGAAATGAACACTTAATTTAATTATATTTCTTTCCTTAGATATTACTAAATTGTTATATTGGATAAACTACAAGAACTAAATTATTAGGTATTAAAATTCATGGACAGTGGAGTTTATGGGAGCGGAAATCAATTGTAAACACCACTAGTCTAGCCGAGTATATAGCAATATATAACGAAATTTGATTTACGCCATAGGAAAATGTTTGGTTTTTTTCCTTCTTTCAATGCTGTCCTGCTCATATATGAAATTGAACAGACAATTTGCTGCTTCAAGGAAAAATCAAACAGAACCATCTTACACCAACTGGAATATAGCCCCGTGGTCCAAATACAAATAGATTGGTTCAATTTCAATCGGATCAATTCAGTTCATCAAATTTTCCCTCGGATTGAATTTCAAGTTGCAAACCACCACTGAACTTCAGCAGCGTAAAGGAAATTTGAAACATTGACTTCAGTTCCTCAGTCTCTGACAGTGATTCGAGTTAATGAAAAAGTTCAATATTGAAGCAGTATATAACGATAATTTTAGTCAACCATACGTGGGGTAGAGAATTCGAACTTCCAACCTTTTAACCGGAAACATATATCTTGACCAGTTGAACTGATTAGCACGATTTTATATAATTTAGTCCATATGTTAGAGGTACGATATGCCATAATCTAGTACCTATATTAGAGGAGAGATAATTCCCATATAGGATATTTTGGTATAATAAAAGAGATAGGCCAATTACCGTTTGGAGCAAATGGCAGAGGTAAAAAAGGCTGGAAGGCTCCAACCACACTCTTGAAACAGTATCCTTGACCTTCTCCTAATCACTCTCCCTGCTTTATTTCCCAATCTAGAGTAGACACACAAAAATCGAGGCTAAAAATTAAGAATTCAGTTGATAAATCTCATCAAAGAAGGTGAAAGATCAAGCAAAACGCGCAGAAGAAAATTTTTCGAAACCGATTCTGTATATCTGTACAGGTATGTTCCTGTTATCAATTGAATTGCGAGCAAGATATCATCTTATATGTCACAAGATTACTCATCTTCAAGAGCTGCAATCTCATATCTCACTTCCTCCATGTGCTCGTTTATGGTGGTCACAGCATCTTGGACGCCTTTGATTGCTTCCTTGAGAGAATTGTCGTATTCGGCATCTGCTTCTGCTTCCTCAGTACCAGAAGCTTCGGTTATCTCATGGACATGCACGCACTCGTGCTCTCGAGGCGTCTTGAATCTGCAATTCTCGTGGCTCACCAAACGCTCTGATGGACGGCCAGCCTTCTTCAGTAACTGAATTTGAGCTGTCTTTAAAGGAATACTTGTTAGGGAAAGATAATGATAAGATCTCGACTATTGAACTTTATATAATGAGGTCTCGGACCGGGAAAAGTACATTCGTGTCCAAGAAAACCCACCCACAACACAAATACTGGGTAATGTGCCTTATCTCCTCGTCTGCTTATTCATATGCATTCTCAAGTTTCAACCTTCAAATAAATCAAAGATGACCAGAAGACTTCCAGTACTGAGTTTTTGCATTTAAAATTACAATTAGACTACTGTGCATGCATTGAAGGATAAGCTACATATCACTAATGAAGACCTTGTGTAGGTAACTGAAAACATAGGACATCGAGTTCAGTAGTTTAGAGGCAAAAAGGGGGAGAGAAAAAAAGGGGAAAATGTATGTGCTACCCCAGCTATGATATTCCTTCTCGTATTTTCTTATAAACTGAATAACCATCGGATGAGTAATAGACAACATTGTAGTTGAATCATTTTCCTTTCTTGGGCTAACTTTTAGAAGTGCAATTCATCAAAATAAAACGAAGTCAGTTGTATCATGTATGCAGTTCAGATTGTCAAAATTCACCATCATTG